GGAGTTTAGACTATAGCTCAACTTAAGGTACTAATGCAGGAGGGTTATGTAGGGATGATTACATGGATCCACTCCCCCCGTCTACGTTAAGCACCAGTAGGTAAATCCTCACATAAGATGTTTCGAAATATAATGCCAACAAGTACGCTGGCAATCTGTGTCCTAGGGCCGGGGGAGTTTCACGTACAGTCTTTGTGAGGGCGACTGCTGTCGCTTCTTCTTTGTTCTTGCTGTTTTGGCTGTTTTGGCTGGCGCCTGCTGCCAAGCGGATCAACCCAGCTGGTACCTTGAATCCTTATTCAATTAGATGTTGGTATGAGAGCAAAGACGCTTAAATCATCCAATCTTGAGTTGCTCGTGTGTCATCTGGTCCAAACCCTGAACATCTAAATCCTCAACCTCAATCCTAGACACGAATATTTGCTCAGCGAGCGCTTCAGACGGCGTTTGGGGAACAAGGTGCAGCAAACAAGCTACTTTTTCACAGCATTTCGCCACCTACACGCAGGTTTGAAGTCCTCAACACCTACACTACTACACGTATATCGACTTGCTGAACCACCCACACCTATATGGTAGTTTCCTTAAAAAAGGGGAACCCCAATATAGACCCCAAAATACTTATTCCTGGGTCCACCAAAAAGTCCACTTAATTTTGAAACACAATTTCCATTTCAATTATCATGTTTTGCACTTGATTTTCCATTATTGGGGGTAGTATGCCTAAACCCTAAATCCTGAACCCTAGCCCTAAATCCTAAGCCCTCAGTCCTAAACCCTAAACCGTAACTCCTAGAATGTTCCTATAGACCTTACATCTGCAGCTTCAAGCCCCTAAGGTGCGACATGTTGGAGTCTGAATTCCACGTGTGGCGAGTTCGCAGTCCAGGTTGGCGGGGTCGTAAGTAACTGCAGGATGTAGGCTAGGTACCCCAGTAGTACCCTTTTTCACTTTGAACCCTTATTATTAAGGGGTTACTGGGGAACCTAGTAAAGTTCAGTGATCATATAGGGTTTGCAGGGGGTCTTGCAAAGACTGTGCGCAGGAAGATTCTAGGCCTCATGAGAGAGTTGTTCATACCCGAGGTGGGCTACGCAGCTACTGGCAATCAAGGAATAGTGGGGAGGATCCTTCTTGCAAGGAGCTGGAAAAGGAACCAACTAAAGCACATCTTGGCATGGAAAGGGTACCCCAAGTGTGACCCCAAAACAAGATCATCAACACGCAAAGACACCCAACCATCCATGATCTGTTTTCTGCACTCGTCTATAATAGTTTGAATCATTCTTCCTTCCATGATCCCAACTGATAGTTATGGATTTCCCTGCTGCTCCCCTTTTCTGCCCGCCCTAGGTTCCCTTATCAAGAGTTATAAGGAACCAAGGGGTGCTAGTATAGGGCGGGGTAGTGGGAGAACTCATGAAATCAGCTGCTAAGACTGGGTTGCTTTTAAGGAACTTAAATTAAGTTACCATCATGTGTATATATATAGTAATCAGTATGGTTTTCCCAATATAGTACTTGAATTAAGTCCGTTAACAGCAACCTAAGAGAGGCCTAGTGAGCAGCTACGAAGCTGGGCGCAAGGGCAGCTTTTGGACTTTGCATTCAGAAGCCTTTTTTGCTTCTAAATTCTTAGTATCCCCCTTAATAACCCCTATCATGCTCCCATATATAATTCCCTATATAACCCCTAAATCCTAAACCCTAATCCCCCATATGACCCCCTCGCTGGCTGGAACAGCTTTGGCATGAAAGTCTGCATCCTTACAGAAACTTTAATTTAGAGCCCCAGGATTAAGGTTTTTAGGATCTAGATTATAATTCCCTTCCAATCCCCATATGGGTAGCTCCCAAAACTGGGGTACCCCTAAATATGAGGTTCCGTAATATAATCTGTAACCCACAAAGGGCCCATAATTTTGAGAAGAAACCACATATCCCTAGAGTCCCTAAGGGTACCCTTCTTCCCATTGAGGTTTTCGCGAAGTACTGGCTTGGCATGGAGCGCCCGCAGATGTGGATCAGAACAGCCTGCTGGAAGGCCCCAAGGCTGAATTATTGGGAATCTCGCTCTTCCATTGGGTTGCTGTTAAGGAACTTAAGCTAAGTTACCATCATTTGTATATGTAGTAACTTCTAGGGGTTTTGCTCAAGTCCCGAAACAGCAATCCAGTTGCAAACTCCCAGGCAATGATAGTTTGAGTCATGCACCCTAAACCTCTCTGCACGTTCTCTCTGTCCTGGCTTATAGCAGGAAGAACTAGAGGAAAAAGAGGGCGTTGGTCAAACAGAAAGGAGAGTGAGACTAGCAGGAACTATGAGAACAGTCACAAGAAAGGAAGGATGCTGAGGAACATCATTGCCATTTGGGACAGGATGCACAACAATAAAGCTTTGTAGCCCCTTCATTTGTACGTTGCCCAGAACCGGACTTCTTGGCATGTCTCATGTGCTTCTCACTGGAGAAGGCCCCCAGAGGTGCAAGCAAAGAAGCCCCCCCAGCTGCTTCTAGACTCACTGCCGAGGCGACCTCCGACCGACTGGCAAGATGCTGGCCGGAACGGCGCCATGGCGACTGTCATCGAAGCCTCTGCAGACGTATGGCAAGGGAACCGAGTGGTACCTCATCAGCACAAGGAAAGCTGAGATGTAGGACCTCCCCGCTGGACAGCAAGGCTTGCCCCTTTTGAGTACATCACCCTGTAGACTGTAGATCCCTTAAGCTCAATGCAAGTCTGCTAGTCATCAGTCATCTGGCATTCTTGTAGAATGATGCAGGCTTTGGCTTCAAGCTCAGGCTTGCAGCTTGCGGGATGAGACACTAAACCGAGGTTCAAGAGTTAGTATTACTATTACCATTATTATTGCTGTTATTACTGTATTCCTATTACTATTACGATTACGATTACTATTACTCTTACTACTACTATTGTTATTACTAGTCCTATTACTATTATTATTGCAGGTATTATTGTTGGACTGTTACTATTACTAGTATTATTGCTATTAAAATTGTTGTTATTATTATACAGGGGCAAACCAGCACAAGCTTGGTTGAAAGCAGTCAAGCCCAGCTGCGATTAAGTGGCGTTTGCTTAGAGCTGTGCCCCATGGGACTGCTTTCGCAATGCTTGGGGTCCTGGAGCTATATCTCTGAGGAGGGCCGAAGGCAATTGCCCAAACATCAATATTCTGGATGCGACAACTCCTACATGTACATTTACTTCTGCTCGCCCTTGGCAGAGTCCTTGGTGCATAGGTTCATTCCTCTATGGATGGCACCCAACCTGATCACACTGCTCGGCCTTGGGATCTCCTGTTTTGGATACGCACTTCTCCACCTGCACTCACCCAACTTAACGGGAGTCTGCCCTGGCTGGGTGTGGCTCCTTGAAGCCATTTGCACCTTTGCATACCAAACCTTGGACAACATGGACGGAAAGCAAGCGAGAAGGACAGGCAGCTCCTCGCCTTTGGGCCTGTTCCTGGATCATGGTGCGGATGCTCTTAACATTGTACTGTCATCCTTGAACGTAATGGCCATGCTGCAGTTGGGGGAGGGGAGGTATTGGGAATGTCTGGGAGTCTGGGCAGCCACCACAACCCCATTTTTCTTCGCCACATGGGAGGAATACTTTACAGGAACCCTATATTTGGGTGTCTTCAACGGCCCCACGGATGGCGTGCTCATCGTCTGCGCGTCATATTTGGCCACTTTCCTCCATGGTGACCAGACAGAGTTGTGGGGCTCCGACTTTGCTTTGGGCCTGTCCAGAGCTCAGGCAATGATCTGCTTCTATGCTGTATGTGTCTTTGGCACAGTATTGGGCACCTCGGGTTGATTCAGAAGTGATTTGTAGCAATTGTGTACCATTGAGCCTGGGTGGTGGCTAAAACCGCGGGAAGCAAAATCCCAGGCCTTAAACATTTCGAGAATCCTTACATGATTGCGCTATCCATGCAGCCTCTAAAACTCACTTAGGCAATCTGATCGCGGTCCAGAAATGTCCGCAGCGGTTCCTACCTAGCCTGGGCTTGACCGGTCCCTTTTGCGTGCACATTGCCAGCGTGGCTTTCTGCATGCTGTCTCCTTCATTTTCTACAGCACGTATGGATCTCAGAGCACTATTCTGGTTCTTTGGTCTAACCTTCCTGATTCTAGTGAGCCTCGGCAGCTTCAGCGGACATTTCGGGGATGGTTTCATTCTTGAAGACAAGACATTACCCTGCTTCCACCCAGTTCTGCTCTTCAGGTCTCAGCTTCAGCTTGCGCATGTCTGCAGTGACGCTTACAGACCTTGGCATTGGAGCGCATTGATAACTGGATGTTTGATACTGAGCTGGCTTGCCAGCGACATCTGCAGCATGCTATATGTAGCAGTTGCGTTGTTGGCCGTATTGTGGCTGCACATGGAGTTTAGCATTGGCCTAGAGATGGCAGACATTCTTCAGATTCCAATTTTCACCCTAAAAGGCGCAAGTCAAAAACCAAACTGAGCGTCTCACCCAGCGGTTCCGAAAGAGTGGCTGGAAAGCTTGTCAGCTCATGAATCAAGAAACCAGATGTTTTTGCCCAGACCCTCGCTAAACCCTCCTAAGCCCCTAAACCCTAAATGGGAGCGACCGAGGACATGTTTTTACCTGTGCCTCGTCCGCGTTGCCCCATCAGAGCATCTAGGCTGCACCTTGCCTTTTGCACATGTGGATATGCTGGTGAGTAGTATTTTATTTGGGAGTATGGTGGTGCCCAAAATAGGGTAAGATTATATCCTCCTTTGGGTATAGTATCCTACATAAGGAATATGATCTTACTGGGTTTAACCACCAAAAAATGCTACTCTGGTGTTGCTTGCACACATACCCACAAGACCCTTAAGGCTACGTATGGGGTATATAGTAGGTATAGAAGGACCCCAGGGTTAAGGCTAAGGGCCCATGCTACGGGCCCTTGGTTTCCACCTTAGACACCCTATATAACCCCAATATACTATTTTCCATATCCCTATATAACCTCTATAATATGAGTTTGTGCTAGTTTCCATTTTCCATTATCCCTAAATAACACCTAAACCCTAGACCCTAAACCCTAAACCCTATAGAATTTGCTGCTCTATTGGCGTGAGCTCTGAGGATGAGCCGATTGGCAACGGTTCAAGAATCTGGTCGGGTGCTTCCGCCCCTGGGACTTGTTCAGGCTGCGCGGATCCCAACGGGAAAGACTGCGGTATGTCAATGTGTAGGAGACATGGAGTTGCATAATTCATCGGACCCGAATTTCGTGGAGTTTGCCGCAACTCCACTTGGGGCTACAGTGGGAGAACCGGAGGTGTGCTTGACCTCTACCAGAAACAAGACTAGACCTCTGAAGCAATCACTTCTCCTTCACCCAACGTAAGATATTCCGCGTTCCCAAAATATTCTCTAAGAATTCAGCGCTTCATGAGAAGGGATGAAGGTCTTGCTATGGGGCATACAGGAGCCTTCAGTTATCTCTGCTCTGGACTCATATTCCAAGTTAAATCTTTGCTCTGGCTAACAGGTCATGAGGGAAGGGAAAAGAACATGGACCAACCAGAGGTAGGTAAGTCCTCGGATACTGTTTACAAAATGAGGTAGGACGGCAGCCTGTAGGCATTCATTCCATTCGCAACGTGAATCTGGAGCATGATACGTTACATTCATGGTTTCGCTTCCCCCGTGGCAACCCCAAATGAGCATCTCCATGGAAGCTCAATCAATAGTCCTGATTTTGGAGGACTTGCCCCTTGATCCCCAAATGAGAGTCTTCAAAAATAAAGGCCTCCCTTTCTTGCACAAATCAGTTGAAACATTATTGCAGTGACCCACACAAAAGAATTACCAACAAATGGAGGGGAAACACGAAGTCAAGGCTGTACTGCCTCATCCATCCGTCGCTGTGGCTGAGTGGTTCTCATGGCGAGTGGCCTTAAGAACATGTCAAGTTCAAGAACAGCGAACAAATTTGCTACTGGCATGGGGGACCCCATGAATTGGGAATAGCTTGTAATTTGGGTTTGATCTTTCCAGAAGGTAACCCAGCCCCAAACTCTAATTTCTAAACCCTAAAACCCCTGATCCCTCGATATTGACCCCTAAACCCTAAACCCTAGAAGCCTAACTAACCAGCTAGGAAGGGGTGTCAAAGATACACTCATGAGGGTACCAGGCTCTGCTCGCGTCGTTTTCGCGCTGAGTCAGGTTGATACTGAGCTTCTGAAAGTGATGGATCCTTTGGCGGATACAAAAAAATCCTGCATGACCCCAAGTACCTTCTGCCTTGGGAGTCATGGCACTATAGTATGCTAAAATTAACCGTTTTTGCGGTCCCCGCAGGAATGATGATGCCTCTAGGGTGGGGGCGGATCCTCATTTTCAGAACTAGCTGGCAAGAGAGAAGCACTGGGTTCCGAATCGCAAGCCTGGTACAGGAATACGCAAGATGTCTGTGAATGAACCCTTCTTTCAACAAGAGCAGGTGCCTTCTGGCTTGAAGCCTTAAACTTCAAATCCCAAACTGAGGGAACCTTGTGTTTCTGAAGTGCCCTTGCAGTGGCCTTTGCTGTGAGAATGGCTGCCTGCTGGTCCTCGTCTGAACTGCAAGGGCCATGTTCCTTTCTCCATTTGTATGGTCTGGAGCTTCAGACAGGCATCTCAGATGATTCAAGGTCATCTGAGTTCTGTCGGACACGGCTTTGATCGTGGGAGAAAGAGACATCGATAGCGTACCTTGCTTAATGGATGCCCTTCAAAGAAGACGTCCATGACTAAGCGGATCTGACCAGCACACACAGTTGCACTGGCAGCAGTGATGCCGGCACATTGTGCGAGCCATGCTGCGATGAGGTGCAGGTCCCTCGCACTGCCACACATCTGCTCGCCTATGCGCTCGGCGCAGGCCCGTGCGCCTTGTCTCATCTTGTGTTTTTTCTGAGAGACACCAAGGTGGTGGGTTGTGAAATAGATGCCCTGCAGGTGGGGTTCGTACACTGGAGCCTGTGGCCTCTCTTATGCCGGAGCCTCGGGAGCTCAGCTTCAGAGGGCAGATATAGGTGGCGAGCCCAGGTTTCGTGATGCACGCCCTCCGACGGAACTGCCGACAGACTTCAAGGCGGCATCATGGATGATGCACTACCATAACATTCCCGCCCACCCCCCAAAGCATCACGCCTGAAGGCTGCAGTGCGTGAAGCGAGGATACTTGGAGAGTCCACTTCCACCGTGCTTAGTGTTTGGCGCCCTTCAGGTGGTGTCTTTCGTCAGATCTGTGGATGGCTCCCATCTTAGTACCACTAGCTTGCAATGCAGCGTAATTACACAACAGTAACAGGGGTAGGTAGGGTATCCGGCTATCTAATCTTACTGCAAGAAGTTTTTTGTGGGACAAGCCAGTGACCAGCCCCTGAGGCTCCGCAACCTTCACAGCCCACTTTGCGCCTGGGCAGTGCAACGGGCTTGATGCCAGCAACCGAGGACCATCCGCAGGGTTGAGATAGTAAGGGATCCATTACGTAAGCTCTACTGGTGGCTGTACCTAAGAGAGGCTGACAGGGGAATGCCTGTGCCATGTGCATCTGATGTTTATGGGTTGTCTGGCATCTTGTATTATCCAACTCGTGGCCAGCATTCAAGCTTCAGCACCGCTTGCGCACATGCAGCATGCTTGTGATTGAGTGCCTAAGCATTTTCAATTCAGAGATAGGAAGGCCATACGGTTGGCGGACAAAATGGGGGGTTCCCAAAAGTCGGGGTACCTTTTTGGGGTTGCCATAGCCAGGATCATAGAATTTTGGGGTCCACATTGGGGTCACTCCATCTTGGGAAGCTACCAAATCCTGGATGAGCAAAACCTGAATAACATGTGGGACTACGCTTATTTTACAGCCGTGCAGGAGTTTGTCCATCAACAGTAGCTGCTGCAAAAGCGTTTGGAATGCCAACTGATACCGAAACCATACAAGTATGGGAGTTTATCAGAACGATCTGTATGTGATCCTTAGCTGTATCAGAGTATCTTAGAATGTTTCGTGGCATATCATATACACATATATAAGTATATTCATAGCATATTACAGCATAGATATTGTCCAGCATTCTGGGGCTTGGGCTTTCATTATTCATCTCATCGTTCAAGCTTTGTAACACTAACAGTAGTAGTAACAGTATTAGTAATAGTAATAGTGATAGTAATCTGCTGAAAGGACGTGGCGCTTCAGCTTGCGAACCTGCAAGCGGTCACGTCAGCCTCTTAGACAGCCTCATAGACTTACTGGTGCTTAAGGGAGAATGGGGGGGTTGGATCCGTGTAATACTCCCATATATACCCCTATAATGATGCTTATATTCACTCCCCCAATCCCCTTTAAGCACCAGTAGGTTGAGCTCTGCCAGGGTGTTGCTCGCCAGGGCCTCCCACCGCTGGATGTGCGCGAAAACAACCGCATTTGCAGGTGGTGTACTGGGTGGATCAGCGCGGCCAAAAATTGGACGCGGCCCTGTGGGCGTCAGACAGTCTGCAGGAGCATGCAGGAAGTAATTTCCTAAGTCTTCCTGTGGCATGCTTGGTGCAATGCGCTGCAGGAGAAGGAGCTTTCCATCTCTAATGTCAAGGTCCCACCAGAAGCGCGAGGTTTAAGGGTGCAGCACTTAGTGGCGCAAGTGACACAAGTGCAGGGGAGATGTGCATTTAGAATTGGTGTCTCCGCTGCAGCCTGGGCCTAGTTCACAGTGCAGTTGCCGTGGACGCTGTGTGGAGGTTCTCGCCAAAAACTTGCACGGCGAGATGCTGTCTGGACCTGCAACATGGCACGCTGGGAAAGTTGATGTTAGGATTTGCGTGCTTTGTGTATACACGTTCGTTGACAGGACGTCTCTCTGTGCCTTGGGAAGACCTCCTTGACACATTCCTGCAAGGCTTCAGCATGAACAGAGGTGCAGAGGTCTCTAAGTTAGAGGTCTTGTTAAGGGGTCCACGGTAACAAGGTGCCGGCTAATCATTTGAGAGGTATGTGAGGGTCACCAGAAGCAACACATGCTTAATACGTAGCAGCAGCGTCCGCAATAGAAAATGCATAAATCCCAGCTTCTATTTCATTTTCCATTTTCTTTTCCATTTGATTCAGCCACTACGGCTCAAATAGCTTCAGTGTAGGTAGTAGCGAACACAACTCGCCTGCACACAGGAACCGAGCCGCCAGGTCCCAATTCCTGGAGCCCATGCACATGCTAAAGCAACTGT